TAGTTCTTTAAAGTTTATAACAGAACATATAGTTCATTAAGGTTTATTAATTTTTTTTTTTTTTCATTTAGCCTTTATTTATACAGGTAGTCTCATTGAGCCATGAGAAAACGTTTTCAAGAGAGACCTGTTTAGGGAGCACATGGTGGGGGTTGGGGGCCTTGCTCAGGGACCCAGAGTGGGGCGAATGATGGTGGGGGAAAGTGAGTTTTTCACCTACCCCACCCGCAATTTTGATGTTGTCGGGGCTGGGGCTTGAACTGGCGATCTTCGGATCACAGGCCCACCTCTCTAACCTCTGCGCCACCACTCCCCGATAATAACAGAACATATAGTTCATTAAGATTTATAAGAGAACATATAGTTCATTAAGATTTATAAGAGAACATATAGTTCATTAAGATTTACTAACCATGTGAATTGAATGTTGGTTCATTTGCACTTTGTGTCTCATTTCTGGCTCGGGTCCCGTTCCTGTTGATGTCTTCAGGTGACACCGGAGTCAGAAGACGAGTATGAACTCCTGCTTCACTCCTGCTTCACTCCTGCTTCACTCCTGCTTCACTCCTGCTTCACTCGGTCAAAACGACACTTGTCTTTTGTTTGAGACTCATTAAAACGTTTTAACTTTTAGTTTCATTCCTGAAGATCATGAAGAATCTCTGTGAAGACTGAAACCAGACCAGTGTGTGTGTGTTGTGTACATGGTGTGTGGTTCTGTGTGTGTGTTGTGTACATGGTGTGTGGTTCTGTGTGTGTGTTGTGTGTGTTTTTAGCTAACTAATGTAGGTGACTAAACCAACTGTGGGCTCATTACGCGTCAGACACTTGGAGGCGTCTCGACTCTTGTGTTTCTTCTCGAGGTGTTTTATTGAAATGTTGTGGCGGTTCTTCTCCAGAATCTGATTTTTCTTTTCTGTTTTCAGAGCGTCAGCCAGAAGTCGTCTTGTTCGGTCTTCAGCCCGGGCCCCAGTCCCACCAAGAGTCCAGAGATGAGCGAAGAATTCGAGGCAAGGACGCACACACAAACACACAAACACACAAACACACAAACCAGAATAATTTACAACTCTCTGATTGTCCAACAAAGTTAAGTCTGGTCCTCTGGACCGATTAAAAAAAAACATTTAAATTAAAAACGTTGAAACGCTTCGTCTTTTATCCAAGAGACTTCTTTAGTCTGAGGAGCTGCAACAAACTCAGTCTCATAAATAGCACCTTCTCATCGTGGATCAACCAGTTTGTTGTTGACATCCAGAACCAGCTGCTCACATGATCAAGAAGGGCCATCAGTCTAATGATGGATCGTTATTGCTCTGATGGCTGTTTACTGTTCACAGAGGGCTGAGTGATACTAGCAATCACAGCATTGTAAGAGGGGGACAGTTGAACACGGAGGCTCCGCCCCTCTTTAATGATGGACAGGTTCTCTTCACAAAGATGGCCTCCTTCACTCCTCTCAAACCATCGTTCCTCTCCATCAAGGATGATTCATCTTCATCCCTGAAAGAGTGACCTCTGACCTGCAGATGAGTGTAGACCTCAGAGTCCTGGTCTGATGATGATGCATCAGGAAAACTCTCTGATTGGTCTAAAAGTGTTGGACCTTCAGCAGAAGATCTGTAGTTTGTTCCCACTTTCCCTTTCTCCTTCCTGAGGCAGAGGTACGAGTTTGAAACAAGCTGAACCCAGAACTGGATCTGATGCTAACGAGAGCTCCGCTACAAGTCCAGACTGCACCAACAGACGCTTCAAGTTAACGAGCACATCGAAGTCCTGCAGGCACACGAGCCGGAGCCTGCTCTGACAAGTCGCAGGCCGCTACGTTCTGTAAATCAAAGACATCAGCCGAGTCAATAAAGAGATGAAGAACCTGGGAGGAGTCGAGTGTGGCAACGACTGAAAACGTGCCGTTTTGATTTGAGCGGGTCCACCAGAGCCGCTGCGCGCTCCTCCGGTCAGAACTGACACGAGTTGGCACCAAACGTGCAGAAACGTGTAAATCTGTTGAAGGTTGTTGTAAAGAGCAGCAGCTGGATGACAACCAGAGCTCCACAACGATTTATTACCATCCACACGGAGTTCTTGTTTCTGTCCACATTCTAGATTCATGAGTGAACCGGAGTTTTTCAGTCTTTACTGGTTTTTACACAGTTTATACGTGAGAACAGTTTTTTCTGTCTCCTTCACCCCGGCTGCTGCAGGACGACGACTCACCAAACTGAGACCGTTGGAGACCAGTCGGTGCCTCCAGGAGACGTGACCTTAGTGTTGACGACGGGCGAGCGCCCAACGATCAACCATCGGCGCCACGCCCACGTTTAGGATTCAGTCTACTGGAGATCCCTTTAGACTTGACGAGAGGCCAGTTTGAACCAGTTTATTGTAAATATAATACACGCGTTGAGAAACGGATGGTCCAGTCTCCGTCCGTAACATCTGGTTCTGGTTCCCAGTTCTGGTTTCTAATCAGCATGGTTCTGAGAGCTGGACCTTCAGAGCTGAACTCTCATGTTTCCAGAAGGAGAACTTCCACGCAGGTCCACCAGGTTCTAGATGTGCAGAAAGCAGCCCGACAACAGTCTGAGATGGGTTTAAAAGACCTTCACTGACCGGAACCATGGAGGACGTGAAGGAAGAACAGCTGTTCACGCCGAGTGCTCTGAATTCTGCACAACAGTTTTCACAGAACAACAAATTACTCACAAATATTTAGAGCCGACAGGCAAAAGCAGCTCCGCTGTCGGAACGACGCAACAGGACGTAAACTGCCAGATGTTTCCCCGGAAGACCAACAGCAGCCGAACAGCAGCCGAACAGCAGCCGACAGTGTTCGGTGTGGTTCAGCCAGTCAGTCATGAGAGCAGAGGAAACATTCATCACTAAAAACAAGAACTGAAATCAGAAAAACATTCTCACAGTGCGACCCGGGCCGTAACACCAAAACAACTCCAGAACCGAGCGTGACTAATCCCAGCTGCTGCCCAGCGGTTTCAGCTCGATGAGTTACCGGCTTTAATCCCGTCAGAGGTCAGAGGGCAAACCTCCACACTCTTTGACTTCCAGCGTCTGAGCTCACAACGTTCTCCTTCAAACTGAAAGTGGAGGATCTTCAGCTGCTACAGAACCAGGACCATCAGACCTGAGGTTTAGTTTCTACTCTGCAGTTCTGTCTCTCTTGTAAAGGGGTGTTGTCAGGAAGTGAGCTGTTGGTCTTTAGGGGTACTCTTCCATGTTGCTGAAACAACGAGATGACTCTTTACACTGAGAGGACATTGAAACACCCGGTGTTGGTTTTATTTTTGTTTTTGTAACGTTAAACTTCAGCCGGAGGCAGATTCTAATTATTTTCTGCGTGCACCACCTCCGCCCTGCCGTTTGTTCAGAATGTCAGGAACTTAAAGAGGAGCAGGCGAGTGTGGAACCTAGGCGTGGCCGGCCTCCTCCCACAAGCCTTTGCGGCGGGCGGGGGCCGCTTGTTTGATGTGAACCTGCAGCGTGGGGCTTTAGCTGCTGTCACAGCTTCTGCCATTTATGGCGTCCCACTCTGCCGTGGCCCGGCAAAGTCCAAACTGCACCCGACACGATACGGCTGAGGAGAAAGATCCAGTGTGGACAGAAAAACCACAAGTCCTGAAAGTTTGAACAAAATATTTGTCTGAATGTTCGTTTGTGATCCAGTTTTCTGCCGCGTTTTTCAGCTTGTTTCTCGTCCTGCAGTTTTCAGCTGTTTCAACAAATCATAAATCACAACGTTCGGCTCTTTCAGGACAGTCCTGCTGTGACTTTTGGTGTTGGTGCAACTTTAGCTTTTTGAAATATTTAGACTTTTCTGACACTTTTTCCTCATAGAAAATAAATTGAGCTCATTTTACCTCCTTCAGATCTTTAGATGTGTTTACTGCTGCAAATTTAAACTGTTTTCAGCTACTTTTAGCTAAATTCAGCTAATTTCAGCTTGTTCTGCTCCTTTCAGCTTATTTCTGAACGTTTCAGCTTATTTTTTTGCTATTTCAGCTACTGTTTGTCTGTTTTTACAACAATTTAAGTTTTTTTCTTCTAATTCCACATTTTTGCACTCTTAAACTTTTTTCAGCGTAATTCAGCACAAATGTTTTCTCTCCACTTCCTTCTGGTAATTTTAGCTTGTTTATGCTTTTTAGCTACTTTTCAGCTGTGTTTTTGTAGCTATTTTAGGCTTTTCTCAGAGAATTTCCACTTGTGCTCATTTCTGCTTCTTTCAGCCTAATTGGGCAGACATGTTCTTTCTGCGTTTTTCTGCTCATTTAAGCTTGTTCTAACATTTCAGCTATGTTTTTAGCATTTTTTAGCTAACTGCTGCTGTTTTTAGATAATTTCAAGTTTTTCTTGATAATTTCAGCTACTTTCAGCCTAATTAACTTATTTCTGATCATTTCAGCTTGTTATGCTCCTTTCAGCTTATTTCAGCTTGTTTCAGTTATTTAGCTACTTTGTAGCTGTTTTGCCCTTTTTCAGCTAATTCCACATTTTTTGAGCTCATATGAGCTCCTTCCACTTCCTTCAGGTACTTGAGGCTTTTTTCTGCCTTTTCATCTACTTTTAAGCTTTTTTTTTTTGCTGATTTCATCTATTTGAAGCTAATTTCCTAATTTTTCTGCTCATTTCTGCTCATTTAAACCTAATTCAGCACATATGTGTTATTTCTGCTTTCTTCTGCTAACTTGGGCTTCTTTTTCTATTTCAGCTACATTTCAGCATGTTTTTAGCTAATTTCAGCTGTTTATCAGCTTATTTTTCAGCAGCAAGCATTCACGCTGCGTCTTCACAGGAAATATATTTTGTCTAGTTACTTGAGTTTGGTTCTGATTAAATCGGACCATTTTCATCTCAACTCAAAACCAGTGCTCACAGTTTGGAGTCCCTTGGACCATTGGCGGCTCTGCTTCAGCTTGTCTGGTGGAAGTTGTTTTTTATTACTGGTATCATCGGGGGTGTGGTTCTGACCCAGTTTCCAGGTGATTATGTGTCTGTGTGCGTCGACTGTTTTCAGTGAAACATTCAGAGACATTCGTTGTTTACAACTGTCGGGGTGAACCTGATTCAAGATGGCTGCCACAGCTGAGTAGCATTAGCAACACAAGCGTGGCTCTAACGTGGTCATTTTTTAGACCTGGAGCTGAAATGTGGTGTGGTAGTAGCCGAGAGTCATCCCTAACACACAGCCAGCAGCTTATTGTTTAACACTTCAGCTTTTGAAGCTTCAGGGGATTGTGCTTCAGCTCCCTGGTCCCTCTGACTGAAGACGGAGCTGGGTATGTAGAGTGATAATCCAGATTATTCACCCAGATTAAGCGTTTTGCTCCAACAGTTTGTGGTTCAGTGTATTTGTTGTTTTTCTTCTGAGAAATTAAAACAAAAGAGGAAAGCTCTTCTAAGTGAACATCAAAGTTCATGCTCAATAATCCAGATTAAAAATCCAACAAGTTCAGTCAGGTCCTCGGGACGGTTTCTTTGTGTTGAAACGTTTCGTCTTTAATCCAGAAGACTTCATCAGTGATGTATTTTGGATGCCTTCATCATGGAAGTCTTTTCACAAGACTTTTCAACAAGTTGCACGTCTTTAGCAGGTGCAAATTAGGATTCTCCATCTAATTCATCAAATCCTTCCAGACTGTGCTGCACCTCTTTGTACAGTTCGTGCACGTTTAATGAGTTTATGCTGAACTTGCATAAAAAATACTTAAATGTTTGTAAATACCTTATAAATGTTCAGCTCAGCTGCTCGCTGCGTGCAGTTATCATCCAGGATTTATAATCTGTGATGCAGAAAGAGCTGCAGTCACTTTACTGGTTGCAATGCCCAGATTAAATACAGACGGTCATTTGGGCTGTTGACGGGACGAGCGTGTTCGCTTCTATAATGAACTGTTTACCTGTTTACTGTATACCACACCATGAACTGTTTA